AGAGAGAGAGAGAGAGAGAGAGAGAGAGAGAGAGAGAGAGAGAGAGAATGAATTTATTAAGCACCTCTATGTGCCAGGTACTGCAATAAGCTGTGAAGGGTAATGTCACAAAAACCCAGAGAAGAAAGGATGGTCATCAGTGTCCAATGCAGCAGACAGAATGAGAAGAATAAGGACCAGGGGGAAAAAGATCATCAGATGTGGTAAATAAAATATTATTGGTAACTATAGAGAAAATAGTTTCTGATGAGGTCACAGACCAAATTGCGAAGGATTGAGGAGTGAGAGGAGAGAAAGTAGAGGCAAAGAATGTAGACATAGTAGCACATAGCTCTAGGACAATAGCTTAGAGGGGATGGCAGGTCCTAGTGAAGGTTTTTTAAGGGTAGGACAGACTTGGGCATGTTGAAGACAGAGAAAGAACTAGTAGATAAGAAGAGACTGAAGAATAAAAAGAGAGAAGAGGGAGGGTGATGATCAAGTTTGCAATCTGCTGAAGATGAGAGAGGACAAGATCAAGGGCACGAGGGCTTACCAGGTCCATCAAAACTTTGTGAGCAATGGGAGTTGTGTCGGCCATGGAAGGAGAGACGGATATCTGCCCAGCCTGCCCGAACCTCTCGAAAGCTCAGGGAGGCCACCCTGCTCCAGTATCTGAAGGCAGTATGGAGGGCTGTCCTGGCAGTGTGGATTGGGAGGGTGGATGGCCAATTCAAGATACGGAACGTTAGATGCCTCTTCCGCCAGCGACCTGGGGAGGTGAGATATGTATCAGAAATCAAACTTTCTAACCAATCCAAACAGGGATGGAAAGAAAGAAGTCCATGCCCTGATCTCCTCTCAGTGTCAATTCGTAACCACTTTAGGCTAAGTGGTCAGTCCATCTTTCCCCATCCCTGTTCCTTTCAGTGTTCTACACTCTACCTTCCACATTCCCTTCCTAACTTCAACCCTCACCTAGAAGTGAATATTTTGGGGTCTTCTGGTTGAAGGGATCTTCCAGGCCACAGCGGGGTTTCCCCATTCGTTCCCTTGTTCGCAAATCCAACTGCCCAGAGATTGGCAGCTCTGAAGCTTCTTGGAAGGACCTGGAATAAAAAAAAAAAAAGGAAACCCATTGGGGTAAGGAGAATGATATGGTTGACACTATTATGCTCTTTGCTGCCTGAGATATTGTTTGTTACCCAATACAGACAGTCTGAGGATCATTGAAACTATTTTTTTTTCTCTAGTCCATGTAGTTGGGGGTGAGGAAGAGGTTCTTTTCTGTGTCCTTAAAAAAAGGATATGTTCAGTCTCCTTTCATATTCTCCATTTCCAGCTCTCTCTGACTTTGGTAAAATTCTCCCTTAGGTCTAAACTTTTTTTTTCTCTAAAGCTACAGCCCCTTCACCTTGTTCCCCTCCTCTAAACTATCCCTCCTCTAAAGACTCTCCCATGAGAGTTGCCAGCCACGGGCAACATTCTCTTTTAACGTCCTCTTCTGGATCGTGCTCTTCATCCTCAGATCTCTGCTCATCCTCTTCCTCCTCACCCTCACTCCCAAAACTGAATTCAGACCAAAGCCTAACTGGAACCAGGGAGAAGATGAGGAACTGGGGAATTGAAGGTCATTGAATAGTCAGCACAGTGAGATTTAAAAGAGCTGGATGGCAGGCAGAGGAAATCGATTCCAATCTTGACCGAGCTGCTTTCGCAGATAACCCTAGAGCATGTTCTCTGCACTTTAAAAATGAGGAAGGAGGCTGAGCTGGAGAGGCTCTCTGATACATTCTCTGATACTCTGGAGGGAATTCTTGTTCAGGGTGTGGGTTGGACTGGATCTCCTCTCAAGGCTCTTTCTACTCTTTGATTCTGTGGATTAGCCAATGAGTAAATATATTTTGGCAAAAACGAGGTGAAAATGGATGGACTCAGGCGCTGCTAAACCCAGAATGGAATCAAAGGAAGAGATGGAATTGCATTCAGGAAACTGAAACACCTTTAAAAATCTCAAGCTGTTCCCTCGTGCTCTCTCTCTCTCTGTCTCTCTCTTGTCTCTGTCTCTCTCTCCCTCCCTATCTCTATCATCTATTCTTATCATTTATTATCTATCATCTATGTATCTATGATCTATATATCTGTGTATCTCTCTCTCTCTCTCTCTCTCTCTCTCACACACACACACACACATACCTTTCTTTTGGCAGCTAGGTAGCACACAGTGGATAGAGCACTGAGCCTGGAGTCAGGAAGACCAGAATTCAAATCTGGTCTCAGACACTTACTATCTTTTGTTACTTAACTTTACCTCAGTTTCCTCAACTGTAAAATGGGGATAATAATCACATCTACCTCACAAAGTTGTGAAGATCAAATAAGATAATATTTATAAAATGCTTAGGACATCGGCTCTTAATAAATACTTGTTCCAAAAATAAATAAATAAAAATTTTAAAAAAGAGGGGCAGCTAGGTGGTGCAGTAGATAGAGGTCCCGCCTGGGAGTCGGGAGGACCTGAGGTCAAATCCGACCTCAGACACCTGACATTTACTAATTGTGTGACGCTGGGCAAGTCACTTAACACCAATTGCCTCACCAAAAAGCAAAAAACAAAAAATAAATACTTGTTCCCCTCCCCTTCCCCTATCTATGTATCTATCTATCATTTATCTACATACATATGTATGTAGGTATATATACACACCCATTTATACACATAGATGTGTGTATATATATACATATACATATACATATATATTCATACATATGTTTAACACTAATATTCTTCTTCAATGCTCTATAGCTGAGAATCATGGTATGCTATTTTGGTCCCTCCCCTCCCCCCCGCCCAGGTGTGTGCATTCTTGACCTCTTACCTTACTGCTTCTGTCACCTCTTCTGGTCCAAAACTATCTGTCATTCTCTCCAGAGGCTTTTGCAGGTATCCATACTTTATTAGGTAATCCTAAGAAGGATAGCAATAAGGAATGGACCTGCAATTTTATTGGTGTAGGGAACTCCCAGTTAAGGAAAATCCTTCTACCAATGCTGGTTAGCATCTCCACTGCAATTTATGGGACAAGGGCTCAGGCATCTTCTGACTGATCAAACAAAATCCATAGAGGCGGGAGAAGGAGGGACAGAGAAAACTAGACTGCTGAGGGGTAAAGGAAGGAAAGAAGAGAAGAGCAGGACAAGATGAGTGAGAGGACAGAATAGAGGGAAGAGGGAAGATTAGAAAGAAAGATTAGATTAGAAAGGAAGCAAGAAAGAGACAGCAAAGGGGAAATGCCTGGCAAGAGGGTAGCCAGCTATCCCACCCTGCTATCTACCCTCTCTGCAAACCCAGAGTGTTTCCCCTAACATTAACTAATACTCACCAGAGCCTCCTCCTGATTCATGGGTTTCACGGACTTCCCTGCCACCATTATAGGAAGGAGACATCCCAGCCAGAGCAGTTCCCACTTCATGATCCTATCACAAACTGAGAACACCAAATCCAGAGAGAGTGTCTACTGCAGCTGAAATCCTTAAAGAACAGGCTGAATGTGGGGCTGAGAGACCTCCCAGGTCCTAGACTTTCAGTCCCTAGATTTTGCCTCTAGTCCCTCTTTATAATATTTTAGCTGAGGCTATGGAGGGAGGGAAGGGGCAGTAGAGGGAGGTGACTCAGTCTAGAAAGGAGATATGTTGCAACTATTCCTTTTAACCCCTGCGCTACTGGGCGGAAAAAGCCCTTCTCCATGGACCTCCTGCGTCTATATAGCCTAGAAAGAGAAAGCCAAACACCTGAATGTAAGCTGATCATGAACAGATTGCTCTGATGGTGATAATCTGGGAAGTGCCTGAATTGGTCATCCCGGGATAGGCAACTGCAGGAAAAGGGCTAGACCTGTTTGGAGTTGAAAGTCATTCTTAGACCCCTAACCCTAGCTCCAACCTAGCTTTGCTATACATCACCATGAAGATTATTTAACCTTTTATCATTAATGGAATTTTCTATCTCTCCCTGGTACTGTAAGAGGAGAAATATCTAAAGGCACAGTGTAGCTGAAGTGTTTGATTTCAGGAAATTTGTAGTGTGTGGGAGAGTCACTGCCTCACTCTCTAGTGTTACATCTTCTACTAACTAGCTGGGACCCAGTTTAGGTTAGTGTGGCAAAAATGTCCCTGAACTTGGAGCCAGGGAAAAATGGGCTTGAATCCTGAGGCTGCCACTTGCCAGCTATGAGACTACTGGCAAACTATTTACCCTCTCAGAGCTTCAGAGTGCTTATCTTTAAAGCAGGAGTGACAATACCTCTCTTGATTGTTTTAAGGATTAAATGAGATAATACACATAGAGTGCTTTGTAAACCTTAAAATCACTATAAAATGTCAACTATTCTATCTCCTGATCTTTAGGTGGCGGTGAGGGATGGGTAAAGGATAAATAAAAGGTATTGGGAAGAATATGGTATACACACGTGAACAGTCACTCAGGCAAACATTTATTAAGCACCAAATATGTGCCAGGCATTGTGCTAAGTGCTGAGGATATAAACAGAGTCAAAAGATAGTCTTTGATTTCAAGAAGTTCACAGTCTAATTGGGGAGACAGCATACAAACAAATGACAAGTAAGATAAATGTAGGATAAACTGGAGATAACAGAGAGAAGGCATTAGGGAAGTTTATAAAGAAATAGATTCTAAGTGCTAAGTGAATGGGATAAACATAATAAACTATGGTGAGCTCAGAGAAGAGAGAGAGGGAGCCCTTTAGATGGAGGTGATTAGACAAGGTTTCACGGAGAGAAGACGGTCATTGAATTGACCCTGAAGATGTGGGAGCAGGAGAGGAAGAAGAAAGGCATTTCTGGTGGGAAAAGCATTGTATCAACAGCTTGAAGGTAAGAAAGCACAAAACATTTGGGAGCAGGAGGGGAATGAATGGGCCAGCGTGACTGAAGTGAAGAGGAAGTTTTTGTAAGAGAAGAGTAGAAATCCCTCTGGTAAGGAAGGTAGAGCAGACTAAGGAAGGCCTTGAATGCCAGACTAATTTATCAGATGATGATGATGATAGCATACTTTGATTAAAGTAGTTATATTTATTATTAGCTGTAAAATGCTATATAAATTTGATACATCGTAGCTATTTTAAAACCATTTTTTACATTATCTCATTTAATCTTCCTAAACAGCTTAATGAGGTAGATAATACAAGTGTTATGGCTCAATTTTACAAATAAGGAAACTGAGGTTTGGACTAATTAAATGTTTTGTCCAAAGCACACATAGAGCCAGATTAAGTCCTTCTTCTAATTCTGACCTTTCCACCTACAGTCTGAAACTTCTCCACTTTAACAGGGGCCTCCAAGAGACATCTTAAACCCTTGAAATAGGGGTAGGTTTATTTTGTTCAAGGTCTCACTTAACACCCAGTTCTGACCCTCCCTCCCAATTCCAAGATAAAGAAAGACATAAAATAGGGACCCTATAACAGGAAAAAAGGAAATCCCCTGATTCAGCAGCCTCTCTATATGTCATTCCTGTACCCCTGACTCACCCAGCACCCAGCACCCAGTTGTGAAACAAATGTGCTGAGTCACAAATATACAGATCTCAAGGGTGGCAAAAAAAAAAAAAAAAAGACAAATGACAGATCCTTAAGAGAAACTCATAATCCCAAGTCACAGCTAGCTCCATTCCTCAAAGGCAACCTGCCCAAGATGGAGAGGGAGCAGAGTGGGAGAGAAGGAATCAGTTGCATTCTGATTTCCTGGATATCCTTCCCTGTAGTCTGATCTCCTAGAAGTTTTACCCAGCAGTCTTTGAGACCTAATCTTTGACTCTCACCTAGAAGTATAGTTTCCCCAGGACACTAGATGGGAACAGTGAAAGAGGGTAGGGGTTACATGGACAAACCATGCTAAGGAAATGTAAATGAGTTGGAAATGATCTGTTCATTGAAGCACTGGTTATATAAAGGGTATGAGTAGGATGACTGGGACTTAGAGGAGGGTAAGATGGGGTATTGACCCCCTCAGATGACTCTGCAGGGGAGAGCCACAATGATGGGTTTAGGAACCCTGGACTTGGGAGTAAAGGACCCCCACCAACACTCAAAACATGATGTGTTTTTTAATCATTTGGGTCCCCTGCTGCCTCAAGTTGGGGAGTCAGGAAAGACAGATGGGAATAATGAATGCCTTTGAAGGGTACATGGTGACTCACTTCCCTATGACCATAATGGCATCATGACCATCCTCAGTCCCCTAGGGCCAACATGACACAGATCCATTCCTTCAAAAATTTGACATCTGGGCTGAGAATGGGGTGAGGTCAGGGCAGAGAATAGAGGATGTGATCCCTGTTGTAAGAAAATCAGATCATCCAATTCCATAATGCCTGACTTCCTGAAGGTTGCTACTTACCTTCTCTACCCCAACGCTCAAGGGAAGAAGAGGAAGAGAAGGGGCAAAAGATTATATTTCTCAGAGTATTTAATTTTTTTAATGGTATTTTTTTTTATTTTTTTTTGTTTTCAACATTCACTTCTACAAGATTGAGTTCCAAATTTTCACCCCATCTCACCCCTCCCCCCACCCCAAGATGGCATGCATTCTAAATACCCCTTTCCCTAGTCTGCCTTCCCTTCTATATCTCCCCCCCACTTCTCTTATCCCCTTCCCCTTCAATTTTCCTGTAGGGCAGGATGGATTTCTGTACCCCATTTCCTGTATTTCTTATTTCCCAGTTGCATGTGAAAACATTTTTTTTAAACATGTGTTTTTAAAACTTTGGATTCCAAAATTTTCTCCCTTCCTCCCTCCCCACCCACCCTCATTGATAAGGCAAGCAACTAAATATAAGTTATATACGTGCAGTTATGCAAAACACTTCCATAATAGACATGCTGTGAAAAACTAACTCTATTTCCCTTAATCCTATCCCGCCCCCCCATTTATTCTATTCTTTCTTTTGACCCTGTCCCTCCTCAGAAGTATTTGCTTCTGATTACTCCCTTTCCCAATCTGCCCTCCTCTCTATCATTCCCCTACTCTCTTGTCCCCTTCCCCCCTATTTTCCTGTAGGGTAAGACAGATTTTCACACCCAATTGAGTGTGTATGTTATTCCCTCCTTCAGTCAAATCCTACGAGAGTAAGATTCACTTATTCCCTCTCACCTTCCCCGGTTTCCCCTGCACTGTCAGAGTATTTAATTTAATTTAATTATGCTTGTTTCCTGTCTCCTATTAAATTTGCATTAGCTATATTTTCCAAAGTATTTTTCAATAATTAGAAAGATATGAAAAGCAGGACAGTGAAGTGAAAAGTTCTTTAAGCTTGTTCCCTGTCTCCTATTAAATTGGCATTAGTTATATTTCCCAGAGTTATTTTTCAATAATTAGAAAGATAAGAAAAGCAGGATGGTGAAGTGAGAAGTTCTCTACATCAATAGAAATCCAAGTTCAAATTGCTCCTACCACACTTACTAGCTGTGTGACTTATGGGCAAGGTCTCTGAGCTTTAGTTTCCACATCTGCAAAGTGGAAACAAAAATGTTAGTTGTACCAACTTCACAGGAATATTGTAAGGAATCAAATAGAATGGACAGAAAGCACTTTACAAACTTTAAAGAAGATTGGGAAAAAAGTGAAGTCCATGTCTTCCTCAGAGATTTCTCAGCACCTTTCCTCTGCCTCATCCCTTTTCTGCACCGTTGACACCCCCTCCTTGCCTAAAAAAAGAGCAGTAGGCTGAGGAAAGTATTGGTCATCAATGGAAGCAGACGAAGGAATGGCATGATCCACAAAGGATTGGACATCTCTGACTACAGAAAGGACAAGGCCTAGGACAGGACAAAGAAAATGAGGAGACTCCAGGCCCTGATTAAGTCAGAGCCAGCCTGGGGGGAGGGGTGCTCTTGATGTGAGGGAGGGAAATAACCCTTTTCTTCAATATTCTTCTCAGAACTTTGAAGGGGTAGAGCCTGGAAGGGGCTTTCCTTTTCTGGGTATGGCCATCAGCCATCTCTGTTGCCCTAGAAACCTCTGTTTTTCAAAGGGAAATACTCCCTCCCCTCTTAATTAGTCACGAGTTTCCTAGAAGCAGTATGGGAAGTGCCTGCCAGAACTGTACACAGCTGGAACTCGTTAGAATATTTGGGAGCTGGATGAAGGAGCTGGGCCAAGACATTCAGTTCCCATGACCCTACAAAGGCTTCTTCCATATCCGCCATAGGACAGGATGAAACTTACTGCAGACCTACCGGTGTCTCCAAGATGCCTTCCCTAGGAGGGGGAGGGCCTGGGGAACCGTATCCAGCCTCCCCTAATCCACAGATAGGACCCTGTTCCTGAGGACAGCAGGAAAATAAACATGCAAGGTGCATAGGGGAATTTTTTTTTTTTTTTTTGCAGCATTGTCTGAGAAGTATGTGTATGTCCAGTTCTGGATTCTGAGAGAAAGAACTTCAAGGAAGAGGCAATACGGCATAGAAAAAACGACAACAAAAAGCCAATGGATTTAGAATCTATAGACCTGGCTTCACATACTAGTTGTGCTATCTGCTATCTGTGTGAACTTGAGGAATTCACTAGTTAACCCTTCTGGTTTTCAGTTTCTTCATCTATAGAATAAGGGAATTGGGTTACTT